AAGAGGAGCTAGAGAGGAAGCAGATGTGGGCAGAGAGACTTTGAAGACCCTGGACCTCTGCACTGTCCGGTAGCTGGCAGACCCTGGCTGTGCTCAGGCAGAGCTGGGTTCAAACCCCAGCTCAGGCGTTTACTCCGTTCAGCTGCAGGCCCGTCTTCTACAAAGTCAGGGCAAAGCCATCTACCTTATCAAGTTGCTGCCATGATGAAATGAAATGATGTAGGCACAGGCACTGGCGCACAGAAGGCACCCATTAAATGCTGCCTCCCTTCCTTCTGTACATCTAGGGGCCGGCCTGATGTGGGGACGGTGAGCACACCACGCTTTAGTGCGGCGGAGCTGAGAAAGAAGGCTGCATATGCAGCGCCAACCACCTTGAATGGGATCTAAGTGATAAGCAAATGAAATGGAATAAACTTGAATACATAAAGCCAAGAAGCATTTTCTGATCCGCGCTCTTCCTCAAAGGAACCTACTGAAATACGAAGAGAAAGAAAAAAGTCGTTCTGGCCGTGTGCATAATCTGATGGAGGGGAGGCTGTCGGTACCAGGATCTGGAGGCATTCTTCCTGGATTCTGAGAAGCTTGGATGGATGCAGATAAGCCTCCACACTGAGCCAAGCCCCAGAACCTTCTAAGACTCATCCCCAACCCTCTGCTATAGAAAGTCAAAATCACTCTTTATGTCTATTCACCGGAAATATCTCCCTGGCTCTCCAAGCCCCCCTCCCCCCATTAAGTCTTCTGAAATCAGCAGGACCATCTGCTTTGGGCATGGAAATGAGATATTACAAAAAGTTGCCACACAAAGGTCATTATTTCTGGAGGACAAAGGGGGGAAGCAAAGCTTCTGATAAAGGCTTTCAGAACCGTGTCCCCCCACCCCCAACTGGCAGTGGGCCTCTCCCTTCCTTCTTGCCCTGACTGCAAATGCAGCCTCCTCACTGGCTTTGACATGCACGTTACGCAGCAAGAGGAGTCTAATACATATTCCTCTCCCACAGCCAGCGCCCGGCTGCCTCACCCTGAAGCTGGGATTGTCAGAGGGTTCTGAGCTCATTTTATTTTATTTTTTTAACATTTTTATTTATTTCTAGGAGAGAGAGAGAAAGACAGCGTGAGCAGGGGAGGATCAGAGAGAGAAGGAGACACAGACTCTGAAATAGGCTCCAGGCTCTGAGCTGGCAGTCAGCACAGAGCCCGACACGGAGCTTGAACCCACGAACCGCGAAATCATGACCTAAGCAAAATTCGGACGCTTAACCGACTAAGCCACCCAGGCGCCCCTCTGAGCTCATTTTAAAGCTTTGTCTTCACAGCCAAAGTAAAGTGAAGAATTGTTGTAACTACCCAGATGATCCAGTGAGAAGGAAAGACATAGGTCTGTGTTGAAAATGACAGCTCTGAAGGACTGGTCTAAATATCTCCACCAGCTCAGCTGACCAGAGAGATGCGGATATGTGCGATGACCTGTCCCCTCCCCCCGACAATAGAACTCACACTGAGTGGCTCCCTGGAGAGGATGCCGAGTGTCCAGCCATCTCCAGGACAAGACTGACTCAGAGCCTTCTCCTAAGCAAGCAAAAGACACAACCCTTCCTCAGATCTGGAAATGTCACATTGGAGAAACTCCAGGGACCTCAGGCAGCAGTTAAATACTGCCATTTAGAGTCCTCTAATCCGGCTGAGCAGAAATTTCCAGATTTAAATTGTGCTCACCCAGGCATGATGAACGGTCCCAGACAGTCTTGCGTTTTCTCCAGCTCCCTTCACTGGCGGTCAAGTCCTTATTTGACTCCACAGTCTACACTCTCACAATCTCGGGACTAAGCATGGTGGCCAGTTGGGTGTCCATGGATAGAAAGGAAAACCGCCAAGGCCCACTGGTGTCCCCCTCCCCCAAATAGGCAGCTAATATATAACAACACAATCAAGCAGCACAGGACAAGGACGAAGGGGCTGGTGAGTGTCCTTGAAAAACTCTGGCCCGAAGTCATCAGGATCTGAGCTGAAGACTTTCCAGGTGTGAGGACTTCAGTAAGTTACTCAACTTCTCGGTGCCTCGGATTCCCCAGGTGTTGTCAGGCAGATAACAGTGAGACTAAGAGATGATGTAATAATATACATCCGCTAGACAGTGTCTGGCTCACCAGCTCCAAAAAAAAGTAGAATAGGGAGCACTTACCACCGATTCCACAAATGGTCGCTAAGTGTATACAATGCGCAAGGCTACTTTTTTTTTGACCCTCAAAACCACTCTGAAAGCAGGGACTGGAGGGGTGTCATTCTCCCAGGTGGCTCCTGCGTGTCCAAGATCACCTGCTAGTCAGTGTTGGAGCCAGCATCTCGCCATCTTGGCTCCTGATCCAGGGCTGTCTCCACTCTCCTCTCCTCCCACTCTCCTCTCTGGACTAGGTAGGAGCTAGTCCAGCTGGGCTCTGCTGAATGAAGATTTCTGTTGTTTCTGCGGGATTCACGTGAGGTGAGGACCACTTGCCCCACCAACCGTGTGTCACCTCCCAGACCTAAGAGCAGATTGAGGGAAGCTGCTCACCCACTGCTTCACCCTGCAGATCAATAAGATCCATTTATCTTAGTTCCATTGTTTCCCTTGAGGTCCCTGAGGAAGACTGCAAGCAGGATGGGGTACAAGGGACGTCCCCGAGGGGCCCAGAAGCTGGCCGAGGATGCTGGTTTACACACCATGTCTTGTGGGACCCTAGGCCACAGGGGTGCCTTGGGGGTTGCAGGGGTGGTGCAAGTGGGTGAGTAAAGGTACTCTGGGTCCTCTATTTAAGCAGACCAACGCCAGCTCTTACTTACATGGCTAACTGGTGGGAGACCGGGTTTGTTTATGTCGGGCTTCTAAGAAGAAGGAGAAAAGGAAGAGGAAGAAGAGAAAGAAAAAGCAGAAGAGGAAGAGGACGAAGATGAAGAAGGAAAAGAAGAAGAAAGGAAAAGCTTGAGATCTACCTTTCTGGGTGCTTCTGAGAACAGAACCCAGAATGGATCCTTGTGGATATGTGGATATTAGGGAGAGAGGAGGGCAGCCTTGTTTTGAGCTAGACTGAGCTATCTCATACCTGGTGTGTACCTTCAGGCATAAGTGGGCACCTGCTGTGTACAGAACCCCAGATCAGGTGGCCGGTGAGTGATAGTAAAATTGAGGCGACAGCTCATGTCCTCTGAGAGTTTGGGGGAGGCATGAAAAGATACCCCAAAGGCAGGAGAAAGTGTCACAAATATGAATTACTGCAGCCAGTCTGGTCCTGGGGCTACACTATCTTGGATCTTCTTTATTTATATGCTCTATTTACCCCCAGTTAGACTATCATTTTCCAGGGGACAAGAAACACCCCTCACTCTGCAAACATTTCTTCAGCGCTTACTTACCAGATATGTCAGACATGAGAAAGGCTTACAGTCTCATGGAAGAGAGGCCAGTAATGCCAGCAAGAGGTCATTTTCCTTAGGTAGCGGGGGCCAGGGCAGGTGTTAGTAAGGGGGTGAAATTTAAACTGCATCCTGCAAGAATAGCAGCTTTGGGTCTACTTCATTCCCTTTCCTGAGGGTCCAGGACAGCCCTCAAGGATGTCAACAACATGAGCTTTGGGGAGGGATGAATTAAAGGCACCCAGGACATCCAGGCGCTGGTCTCTGAGGATCTCCTGGAGGGAAGAGTTTGGAACTGGGTTTTGAAGGAGAAAGAGCCTGGATTGGCTCCGAGGAGAAGGCAGTGTGTCCAGGTTGGGACCATGCCAGCAGCAAAGGCAATTAAGTGAAGCCATCAGGGCTTGAGGCGCAGGCTGGCAATAAAAGGACGGAGGTGAGGGAAAGCCAGTTAAGCTCGAGTACAGGGAAAAGCAAAAAGAAATAAAGGTATTCAAGAGAGAGCTAGAAGAAAGAGGGAAATGGCTGGGGGCTGGGGTGTTAGAATCCGATACTACTGGGGTGTTCCTGGACTCAGGGTAATAATAGACCATGAGAAATGTGATCGTGGAGGGGAGCCCCCTCTTCAAGCACGACCTCATCACCCCTCTGCAAAACAGGGTTCCTGTGTTCTTCCCAAATGACCTCTGGCTGACACCTCTCTTGTCCCTCAGCCCCAAAGTCTGTGTCCCCTGGAGGAGCTGGTGGGGGGTAGGAGACACCTGGGCGGGGGATGGGAAGTGGCCGGGGGCCTGGCTTGGCCTGTAATGTCTCTCAGCGGTGACCCACATCTGGGGCTTCTGGAAATCTGACTTGCACACTCCCACTGCCGAACTGCGCCTACACAATCCATCGCCAGGTGAAGGCACAGATATGCATGGGGGGCGGGGGAGGGCCGCCACCCGCGCACGCACACACCACTCCACAAATGCAAGAGTCCCCAGGGCCATCAAAGGGAAGGCTGGGTGTCCTGGGTTGAGTAAGCGAGGTGGCTGGCAACGCTGTTTCCCTTCCGTCCTCCCCGGGAACCCGCGCCTCGGCTTCCTTCGCTCTAATAATGTGAATGAACCCTGGGAGAGGAGGAGAGCGCGCGTGCGAGCGCGGAGAGCGCAGGGGAGCGGGGGAAGAGACGATCCGGGCCGGGGAGAGGCGCAGAGCGGGGAGCGCAGACCCGGGCGGGGGCCGAGGCGCGAGGGGCGGCGCCGCGAGGAGCGGGGCGCGGGCCCGGAGCGCGGCGGCGGCGGCGGCGGCGGGCGGAGGCGCGGAGGGCGCGGGGCGGAGGCGCGGGCCGAGGCGGGAGGGCGGGCCGAGAGGGAGGAGCCCCCGGCCTCCGCCGCCAGCCCGCCGGGCGGCCCGCGCAGCCCTCACTCGCCGCCGCGCCTCGGAGTTTGAGCCCCGGCGGGGCCCGAGCGCAGGCACGCCCGGGGCGCGGGGTCGGAGCGCGCAGCGCGGCGCCGCCCCCCGGCCCTCGGCCCCCCAGCCCGGGCGCCCCCGGAGCGGCGCGCGGAGGGAGGAGGGCGGGCGGGCGCGGCGGGCCGGGCCGGCGGGCGGCGGACTATGAGGCGCCCACCATGGTGCGATGCGACCGCGGGCTGCAGATGCTGCTGACCACGGCCGGAGCCTTCGCCGCCTTCTCGCTCATGGCCATCGCCATCGGCACCGACTACTGGCTCTACTCCAGCGCGCACATCTGCAACGGCACCAACCTGACCATGGACGACGGGCCCGCGCCCCGCCGCGCCCGCGGCGACCTCACCCACTCGGGGCTGTGGCGGGTGTGCTGCATCGAAGGTATGGTCGGCCCCGGCACCCACCCCCCCCAACACACACACACACACACACACACACACACGCACGCACGCACACCCTGCCCGGGGGTGCCGGCCGGGAAGGGGGTGGGCGCGGCACTGGCTCCGCGCGACACACAAAGGAGCCGAAGCGAGCGGGCGGGTCCCCTCGCGGCCAGCTGTGCACCAGCTTGGGGTCCCTTCAGCCGATCCCACAAACTCTCCACGCACACGCACACCCCCTCGCACACAGACACAATGAAACACACCGAAACTCACACGCGCGCGCGTGCGGCCCGAGACCGGAGCGATCCCGGGGGGCCGCGCCGGAGCCCCCGGGGGAGGTGGAGGATGGCGTGGGGGCGGGAGGAGGCTGGGGTTGGGGGGAGCCGACCGGGGAGGAGGGGAGGGAGGAGGGGGAGGGGTTGCTTGGCAACCGGTGTCTGTGCGATTGCTATGGGAACTGGCCATCCTGGGGCGGGGCCGGCCGGGGGCGGGGAGCGCCGGGGCAGCTCCACGCTAGCTCCAGGCCGGGGCCGAGGGGTGGGGGTGGGGGCTGGGCTCCGAGCTCGGGGCGAAACCAGTCGCGGGATCCTGACGCCGCCGAGACCCTGCTCCTCCGCCGACTCTTCTACGGGGCCCCGGCCCGCTCCTCCCTGCTCGGCGGGGAGGGGAGGGGTGCGTCACCGAGGCCCCCCACCGCCCGACTAGGGGAGCAAGCCCTCGCTCGCGGTCCCTCGGCAGGGAGGCTGCGGGAGACCTCGGCCGGACACTGGAGTGCGCGGGGGCTACCCGGGGGCCCAGAACTGCCTGGGAGGGGCGTGGCCGCCCCGTCGGGGCAAGAGGGGCGGGGCGCTGCGCCCCCCAGATGCGCGAGGAAGCCGAGTAGTAGGTGATGTGAGGTTGGAATGCCTCCGGGGGCCGGGATTGGGTGTCCCGGGACTGTGGGGACCGCTCCCTCCGCGGGAGGGGCCCGGACGCCTCCAACGGCAATGCGCCCGACTTCAGCGCCTCCCACCCGCCCTGCTGCGGGCCCGGAACTAACAGGTGGCTGTGGAGGGGCGGTCTGGTCCCAGCCAGGTTGCGCACGGGTCTGCCGCTCGGGCTTGGCTTTCAGATCGGAGAAAGGATGGGGGAAGTTGGCGGAGCGTTCCTTTCAGATATCCTTGGACAGAGTTTCCTCTTTCTTTTCCCGTGCGTTAACTCCGCCCCTCGGTTATTCGGGGAGTTCTCCCACACACCTAGCCTTCCTTACTGCAGCTACGGCCCCTGCGAATAGTTCACGGGGTTGGATCTTGTAGGGAGCTCATCAAGAGATGGCCCTTTTCCTGGCCGCGTTTGGAGGCATCTAAAAAGAGGCTTTGTAAAGCGGAGTCGGCTGGGCGAGGGTGAACTTGCTCCCTTTCCTCTCTCTCTCCTAGGCTGCACTCACAAGAATCCTGCCCACCTCCGCCCCCCACATCCTCTCCCAAACGAGGCTGCCTTGCTCTTTGCAATTTGGAGTTTAATGCCAGGGCTAAGTGGAGTCTTGGAGGATCGGGCATGTGCAATCAGTAGTTTGCCAAACACAGCCACACAAAGGATCAGTGGGCCCGCGATCACACCTTCCTCTTTCTTTTGAAAAACATCATTTTGGGTGTGCACTTGTTCAGATCACGAACACCTACTCTTCTCATCTGGAGAATGTGCCCACGTCACTACCTGCCACAGCACCTGAATTAGACACAGAGCAGGGGCCGCAGAGCCCCCACGTTCTACCTCACAGGCTCTGCGTGGCGCAGAGAGCCGTGTCACTGTCACCTCCCAAATGCACATGCGGACCCCAGGCCTTCCAGTCTCCCGGTGAAGACTGAACTCCTCCTCGGCGGCCATCCCAGCCTCTGCAGAGTGGCTGGAATGCCTCCTTTATTAATTCCTCATCCTAATTAGGATTGATGCTGCACTTAGCATCTTGCCAGCTGCCTCGAGCGTTTGCATTCGGTGTTCATCAAGAGAGCCCCAAGCCGATCTGGGCAGCTGGCTCCGCTGGCGGAGGGAGGGTGGGGAATTGCCATCTGGGGGACTTCACCGTAAGAACTGAGCTGGCTCTGTCACCCCCCACCCCGCCCCAAGCTCAGGGGTTCTGAGGCCCAAACCAGGCCACATCCGAAGGCTAGAACACCCTGGGACCAATCCCCAGGGCTGGGAGAGCTGGTTCAGGACTCCTTGTTTTCGCTGGCTCTATCGTGACAGTCCCTCGGCCTGGGTGGAAACTACCAGCTTATCTCCTAAAAGCACAGTCACCTGAGATCTCCAATGACTCCACCTGTCAGCCAGATGGGGTCCGGGCAGCCCAGTGATCCCGACCCGCTCCCTGGAGACCTGGTCACCTCACTGTTGCCTTTGTGTGTCAACTGCACGACTTCTACCTGTTCTCTAGCAAAGTACCCCCAAGCTTTACACAGGGGGGGGGGGGGGGGGGAATGAAAAGATCAAACCTCTGAGCTGAAAACTGGAAATACTGCAGCAGGCAGCTAACAAAGCACTGGTTGTGACCGTGGGACTCCGAAGGGCTTGCTGGCAACGCACAAACAGAGGGCTCAGTTTCCTGGTCGTTTCCCACAAATGATGTTGCAGGGCCTGGAGAGCCCAACCCTCTGTGGGTTTAAGGCCTCAGCAGGGCTGACATCGCACCAGCCTCTCTCTGCTCCCCCAGAGCTAGGTCTCACCCCTTTGACCCTCTCTTGGACAAGTCCAAATACTCAAGAGTGCTGAGCATGTGCATGCTACTACTTGGCACATTCACAACGGCCCTGAGAGGGTGCTGTCTTCACCCCCATCTGCAGCCGAGGGTACCGAGGCTCAGAGAGGGCTAGGCACTTACCCAGAGGTACCCAGGTAGGAGGCTGCTGGGCTAGATTTGAGCCTTTGTCTCACTACAAAGCTCTTCCCACCATGTCATCCTGCCCTTTCCCAAACAGCTTCTAGGTTGCCATTAAAAATAGAACCAAGTACTTGACTACCCAGTGGAGCCCAGCTCTGAGGTTGGGCCGCCAGCAGCATGAGGCATTGAGAAGAGAAAATGTACAAGTGATGCCCAAATTGTATAACATACTCTCCCTTTCCTTCCCTCCCATCCCTCCACTCCCCTCCCTTCCCCTCCCCTTCCCTTCTCTTCTTTTCCCTTCCCTCTTCTCCTCTCCCGTCCCCTCTCCTCCCTTCTCCCCTTCTCCTCTCCCCTCCCCTCCTTTTGTCTTCTCTTCTCTCTTGTCTTTTTCTGTCTCTGTCTCTTTCTCTTCTTCCACCACGTTCTGGACTAGCCCATCCCCCTCGCAATCAGCCTCCCGCTCCCACCCTTACCCAAACCCCACCTCATACTTTCTCTGTGTCTTTGGTGACACTCAGCCCCAGGCTGGGGGACATAGGAAAAGAGTCATAAATCTTTGCGGACTTTTCTATCAAAGGTATCACCAAGCAGCATTTGTTCAAGCTCTAATGCATGTTGTGATCGGGCAAGGTACAGAATGGAAGCAAGCGTTATGGAGAAGACCTCGTGGAAACACGGGAGGGGAGGGGACTGTCACCCCACAGGGCAGCCACTTGTGTCAGCATGCCCAAGCCCCCATGCCCCCTGTTAGCTCCGGAGTGTTCACTGGGGCCGCTGGAGGCCAGGGTCCATGAGGGACCCAGACACTGCCCCGCCATCAGGAGAGCCCTGGGCCCGGAATAACTGGTCCTGGCAGAGTTCAGCCTCAGCCCTGCCCCTCCCCTCCCCAGCTCCCCAGGGAGCTGCGCCCAGGACCCCCACAGCTCTGTCAGAGCCTGACTGTGGCAGCCCTGGCACCAGGGCTGACCCCCGTGTCTGCTTTGTGCCGGCTCTGTCTTGGGCATTGGCTGGGGGAGGGCGGGGAGGGGGAGGGGAGGAGGTGCAGAGAGATTCTGGACCCTGAAGGCAGAGGGTCCTATGTCCCAATCATGTCCACCTCCCTCACCTGGGCGGCATCTCTCACATCAGTGTCCCCAGACTGAATTCCCATCACGGCACACAGAGGAAAAGAAACCATTAGTACTGCACCCAGGGCCCAGGGGGGAGAGAGGACAGCCACAGGTGACTCTCAGCGGCTCTCGCCTGCCGAGGCCCCGCCCAGCTGCCCAGCGGCCTGGGGACGGGGCTTCCTCCCCCAGGACCCTTGGAACCCTTTCCAGGCAGGTGCTGGCCTTAAACTGCTCCCAACACAGGACTCTTCAGAGAGGTTTTGATTCAAATAACGCCCTTTCCACACCCACTGCACCCCAGGCACCAGGCTGGGAACTTTTCCTGTCTGTTTGCTTTCATTTTCTCTGGCAGCAACTCCCAGGCAGCCTGTCCAGTGAGGCGGGGGCAGGTGAGAGCCGCCAGAGCAGGCCTCCCCTGGCTGCTCACCTCTCCCCAGGGCTGTCCTTTGCCCTCCGGTGTTGATACTAACAGCCACCACTGAGTGCAGACCTTTGTGCAGGACTACATTAGTTCCTGTAATTGACAACAGCGCTTCGAGGTAAATATTAATTATCTGCCTTTCATAGATGTGGGAGAGGAGGCTGAAGACGATCACAGCGCCTGAGCATCACAGAATGTCTTCTGTCTGGATCACAGTCGAGGCTGGACCGATGCGCCTGGCTTTGCACCAGCCAGAGGGGGTCCTTTGCACCAACCAGGCAGATTTGGGAAGGGGCTGTCTTAGTCAGCTCAGGCTGCTGTAACAAAGTATGATTAACCCAGTGGCTTAAGCAACATTTATTTCTTAGAGTTCTGGAGGCTAGAAGCCCAAGGTCAAGGTGCCAGCCGGTTTCGCTCCTGGTGAGAGCCTGAGGTCAGGCTTTCCGGATTGCAGATGGTCCCCAAGTCCTTCTGCCCTCAGGCCAGAGTGCTAGCTCTCTGCTCTCTCCTAATAAAGGCACTAACCCCATCATGAGGACTCCATCCTCAAGATCTCATCTAAACCTAGTCACTCCCCCGCCCCAAGCCCCACCTCCAAATACCACAGG